TCCCTCCCTCCCTCCCTCCCTCCCTCCCTCCCTCCCTCCTTTCTTTCTTTCTTTCTTTCTTTCTTTCTTCCTTCCTTCCTTCCTTTTCTTTCTTTTTTTCTTTCTCTCCCTCCCTTTTCTTTTTTTCTTTCTTTCCTTCTTTCTTTTTCTTTCTTTCTTTCTTTCTTTCTTTCTTTCTTTCTTTCTTTCTTTCTTTCTTTCTTTCTTTCTTTCTTTTCTTTCTTTCTTTCTTTCTTCCCTTCCTCTCTTTTCCTTCATTCTTCCCTCCCCTTTCTTTCTTTCTTTTCTTTCTTCCTCTAACTTTCTCCTCTGAAGCAGCGAATGACAGTCTTGGCAGAGAGCCAGTTGCGTCTAGCGGTTAAGGCACCGGGCCAAAAACCAGGAGGTCATGAGTTCCAGCTTAGGCCTGAAAGCCGGCTGGGCCGGTCTCTTTCTTTCACCCTAATCCACCTCACAGGGACGTGGTTGTGGGGAAAACAGGAAGAGGCTGGAAGACTAGGTACGTCCGCTGCCTTGAGTTATTTATACAAATAATAAAGATGGAGTGATAAACAAAATACCTTGCTGCCGAGGGCCTGGAGGGCGGGATTAAATTGCCGCGACGGCTTGGATTTGCTGCTCCCTGAAAAAGAAGGGAAGAGCCCAACGGGACCCTCTTAGGAAGGAAGGTGGGTACAAAGCTGCCAAGTCAAAAAAAAGCAACAGGAGGCAAGAAAAACGCCAAAGCGGCTGGGGGTTCAGCGCCCAGGTTGGGGGGGCAGCCGAAGAAGCAAAGGCAGGGCGGTTTTTACCCGCAAAGACTCGGAAATCGGATTTGCTGTAGTCGAAGGGCGTGAAGCGGCTGGCGGCAGCGTCTGCTTCCGGCTGCGGAGAGTCAGGCTTGGACTTTTTCCTCTGGAGGGTCTCCGTCGCAGGATTCTCCTCTGCCGCCTCTCGCTTTGGGGCAGCCTGCTCTTGCTGGAAACGCAAACACAAGCAAGGAAGGAGAAAAGAACTCTGCACGGTTTTCCAAGGCGGCGGCACAAAATTCTCTTTTCCCGTTGCGAAAGCGGAAACTGCAGCTGCTTCGACTGGAATATACGGGGTCCAAAACTGGAATCGTGCCAGCTGTAATGCAGCATTAATGAACTCCGCTCCACGGCTTCCCTGGTGGATTTTGGCACGTTGATCTCTTCGCTCCTCCCCTCGGTGGCTCCGCCCACTCTAGGCCCCGCCCACTGCTTCTTGATAGGACCCTCCCACCTATTAGGCCCCTCCCTCCCAGCGTGAAGGGCATCCTTCAGTCATGGGCTTCCTCTTAGCTGTCCCCCCCCCCGATTTTACAACTCTGGCGAGAACAGGGTCAGTAGGACAGGATGTCACCCTTAGCCAGCTGGTCTGCTCAAGTTTCTAGTCCTTCCTGAAGTAGGTTTGCACACAGGTCTCGGATTCTTTGCGCACTCTACTTCTCCCCAGGGTTGACACTCACGGCAGCTAACTGGCGAACAGAGACGTTCTCCGTGTCTTTGATTCGGGGCTCCTTCTCTGCCTCCTTCGGGGCTGCTTGGGGAACGGAGGCTGCGAAGGAAGGAAGGAAGGCAGGAAGGAAGGAAGGAAAGGATGGAGTGACGGAGGGAAGGGAGAACTTCCCTCTTGAACACACGCGGAGCTTTCCTGGATCACCACTAAGACCTTTTCACTTTGGTGGGAACAGATCACTAACACAAGCCTCCCCCTCCCTTCTCCCCCCCCCGGAAGCAACTTGGTTTGATTGCAGCATTTACTCTTCAAGTAAGATGGACATTGATGCCCACTTACGTATTCTAGACCAGGGGTCCCCAAGCCCCGGGCAGTGGCCTATTCAGAATTGGGCCACGTGAGCGGTGCGCCTGAGCGCGCATGCATGCATGCAGCTTAACTCGCGCAAGCAGCGGGCCGGCGGGCACTCGCACGTGTGTGCGCCGGCCTGCCATTCACACAAGTTGAGCTGTGACCTTGTCCACTCACACAGCCTTATTCCCCTCTCCTCCCCCCCCCCCCCCCNGATCCCCGCTGGAGCCATGGCAGATCCCCGCTGGAGCCATTGCAGATCCCCGCTGGAGCCATTGCAGATCCCCACTGGAGCCATGGCAGATCCCCACTGGAGCCATTGCAGATCCCCACTGGAGCCATGGCAGATCCCCACTGGAGCCATGGCAGATCCCCGCTGGAGCCATTGCAGATCCCCGCTGGAGCCACGGCAGATCCAGATCCCTCTTACCTGCGGAAGACGAGGATCTCCTGGAAGGGCGAGCGCTGCCGGTGCAGCACCTCCTCCACCTGCAGGGAGAGCGCCTGTCCGGGCCACAGGCTGCAGGTCTCGCGGAACCAGCCCCCGGCCGAGACGGCGCCCCCGGCCGCGGTCGCCTCCATGGCTCCGCTCGCTCCGAACGGGCCGGGCCGGGAGGGAGGGGCGCAGGAGGAGGAGGAGGAGGAGGAGGGCTGCGGCGCCCACCTGCCACCTGTCCGCGCGGCAAGCGAACCCAGGGCTCCCGAGGAGGCGTGGCCGCCGCCTCTCCCCCCCAATGGGAAGCCTCGCCAGCCCGAGGGGCCGCCCTCCCGTTGGCCAGACCGGCGAGGGGCGGGCGGAGCGAGCCGAGTGAAGTCATCAGGGTAGGTTGCGCGTTCCAGGGCTGGCCACGTGGGGCGCTGGGAGGGGGTGGTGGAAAAGAGAGAGGGCGGGAAAGGCGGAGCTGATTGGCTTGGGAGGAAAAGGGGGCGGGAGCGAGGGGGCCGTCCCTCCACGTGGCTCGCTTGCAGCTGGGCTGGGGAGCTGCGATAGTGGCCAACATCCGTCATGCTGGTTTGCTCGGGGAAGCCGTGTTCAGACGTAACTGGGGGGGGGGGGAAACCTCCTGGAGCAGAAGAGGCGGTGTGCATTCAAACAGGCTGGACTACAGCACCCATCAGTCCCAGCCAAGAGCGTTCCCCCCCTCCCTAGCTTTTCTTGGGGAGGGGGGGGTCTGGCGCTGCAGTCTTGTTTTTAAACCCAGTTTTTCTATGCAGGTTAGTCCTCGACTTACAACGGTTCGCTTAGTGTCCGTTCAAAGTTACAACGGCACTGGAAAAAACGTGGCTTAGGATCGTGTTTTTTTTCTTTCTTTCCCAGTTAATGAGCTCTGCAGCTTCCCCGTGATCGGGTCACGGGAGAATTCTGGCGACTGGCTCCTATTTATGACCCCTAAATAGGTCCCCCGGTCATGTGATCCCCTTTTGTGACCTCGCTAGCAAAATCATGCCCCAAAGTGGAAGGACACTGATTCCCACAATGGATAAATGACTGCAAAAGTGGATGGAGTTAGCAGAGATGGTTTAAACCAAAGGTCCCCAACCTTGGCCCCTTTATGACTTGTGGATTTCAACTCCCAGAATTCCTCAGCCAGCATGGCTGGCTGAGGAATTCTGGGAGTTGAAGTCCACAAGTCATAAAGGGGCCACGGTTGGGGACCCCTGGTTTAAACTGACTGCTTTGATTAAAGACAAAAATACAGTTTTATTTCTATTTGGAAACCGCTTCTGGACTTTGTGCTTGAGATGGGAAAAAACCTGAAACTTTGATTTTGGGTTTGACCGATTAGATAGGTTTGTTGATATACGTAGAAATGGCTAGTTTATATTGGTATGTAAAAGTAAAAAGCTGAGGTTTGATGTCATTATCTTATTCTATTGCACCAAAGGAAAATCAACACTCTTTCTTTCTTCCCCTTGCCCCTTCCCTTTTCCCTCCATTTTTCCTATTTTTTCTTTTGTTTTGTTTTATTATATTATCAATTAATTAAAACAAATTTAAAAAAGCAAAGTCAGTGGGAAGGCCAGATTCAACTTAACAACTGGCTTACTAATTTATCAACTGCAGTGATTCACTTAAGGGTGGTAAAATGGGGCAAAACTCACAACACAAATTAAGTCCAGAGATAAGTTGTGGACTTATCTGTATATCATAAATTAGGTGCTGTGAATGGCCTTCTTGCCTTCTGAGATGTTGGCTGGCTTTGTCTACAGCCATTGGATCTCCTGGTGGTATCCCATTCATAACTAGCCAGACCTGCACCCATTAACTTTTGGAGGTCGGGGGGGGGGGAGTGCCAGTTAGTTCAAAACCGACTCTTTTAAGGCCAGGTGGCTGTTGCAGAGATTTTTTTTTACCAACATTCAAGATGGAGTTGCGCTCTGCGCCGGCTCAGAAATTCTGGAACAAATTTAATGGGTTTATATGTTTCATTTCCCTTTCCCCTCCCTGCTGCGTATACTGGCTTGAATGTTGATTTAACTAAAGCTAATTTAAACTGTAATACAAGCGTTACGTATAAATAAGCAAGAAAAGCAAATGAACCATCACCGCTTAATTTAAACTTTGCTTTCCTTCCTTTTCAGGGGAAAGAAAAGCACTTTAATTGTGTGTGTTTTTTTTAAAAAACAACAACATTGAAAACGGGTATCCATACAAAAAAAAAAAAAAAGTGGCAGGAGTTTCTCGCATCTTCCCAAAACTTCCTCCAACGGTGTTATCTTTTGGGCCAGTTGTGCCGAAAACCCCTGCGGGAGGAATGGCAAGAAAGGTAAGGAGAGAGCGAGCCGAATGGATATGGTTTAAAGGTGGAAGAATTTTAAGCATCGGGAAATTGCCCAACAGTTCACTTCCTTTCCAATTTCAGCGCAGGAGGGCAAACGGTCACCAAACGGTGGCGTGAAATATTAGGGACTAGAACCCTTGCAAGTCTTATCTGCAAGGTACAGGTTGTCCTTGACTTACAGCCATTTGTTTCACTGACAAGTATTGGACAGTTGCTGTGGTCCCAGGGCCATGTGATCCCTTTTGGCGGCCTTCTAACAAACAAAAGTCCATGGGGAAGCCAGATTCACGTAACAGCTGTGTTACTAACAACTGCAGTGATTCAATAACAGTGAGAAGGCAGGCGGTCAAATGGGGCGACGGTCTCACTTTGCGACAGAAAACGGGGGCTCTATTGTGAGCGTACGTTGAGGACTATCTGCAGTTCCAATATTCCAGCTGGTTTTTTTTTTTTTTTTTTTT